CAGCAATAATAGTACCGCCTTTTGCGCCTCTCCAGCATTCGTTTCCTAGGCTCAAAACTAAATTTCAAACGAACATTTCAAGGAGCACGGATATAAACTGCGGCATCTCCCCTTCCGATCTGTTTTTTCGAGACTATTTTCTCTCTTTTGGCTCTGATGCACTCATGGAGTACCTGCTCGTCGTTGAGAAGTGGGAAGTGATACACACAGTTGCTTGCACCCTCTGGACGGAGAGTACCGAGCGCGCCCCTAACGGAAGCGACTGCTCGCAATATCCCTGCTACGACAGAAGATTGTGCCTTTGGTACAGGAAGTTCAGCTCTTTCTTGGGTTGTTCCTGCTGTAAGGGATGCCATTTCATGTGTTGCACTAGTTTCTCTAGATTTTCGACCGTCCTCAGCAACTGTTGGGGTTCGGGATGTTCCAGGCTCCTGCCGTGGTTCCTCTGCATGGAGATTCCCTGAAGGGCGTTCAGGCGCCTGTGCGTCAGGCATTCGCTGCCCGAAAGGCCGTTCTCGTACAGCTGCTCGCCATTTCCCAGAGTGCCCACCCTTTGCACCAACTGCTGATAGATCAACCAATCCAACCGCATGCTGCTGTGTGCTTCCTGCCGAACTTGCCCCTGGATCTGCCCAAGCACCCTTCGCACCGGCAGATACTTGTTGGGCCGGGTGTCCAGGCTGTTCTGTTCTTCCTCGGGATGTTCTAGGCTCCCGCAATGGTTCCTCTGCATCAAGACTCCCTGCAGGGCGTACGCGCGCCTGCGCATCAGGCATTCGCTGCGCGGGAAGCTGTTCTGGTACATCTGCTTGCTGGTCCCCAGACTCCCCGCCCGTTGCACCGACTGCCGATAAATCAAGAAATGGAAACACAAGCTGCTGTGTGCTTCCTGCCAAACCTTCCCCTGGATCTGCCCAACCACCCTCCGCACCGGCAGGTAGTTGTTGATGGGCCGGCTGTCCAGGCTTCTGCTTTGTTCCTCCTTCACTCCCTGTCAAGTATCCCCCAACTCTCGCAGTGCCGGCTGATAGAAAGGGCATTGAGTACCCAGGCCCTTGTGCTGCTTCTTCTCGATCAGCAGCTGAAGATCCCTTTCTTTCCGAATCCTTCGGTGGCGTCCAAGGCTTTGGCAACCCTTGACCGTCTTCATTTTCATCTTCCCGCCCTGCAGAAACAGCAGATCCCGTTGCACCGCTTGGCGCATCAGGCGCTGGAGCTTGGGCCTGCTCTGCCTGTTCACCACCAGCTGCTGCAGTTGCCTCAGTTTCCACAGGAGTCGTATGCCCACGAGGCTCTTCTGTAGGTGAATGCTGTGTTTCTTTCCCATCGGATTCCGCTGCTGCTGAAGCGACTGGAGACCCTGGTGATGCGTCAGGTGTTGCTGGCTCAG